AACTGTAACCCCTAAACCGCTGTCTTTCACCTGCAAACCAACACACCCAGGGTCTACAACTCCAGTCATCTCCACACAGTCAGAGGCTACGTCCTGTTACTCTCACCCCAGGGGTCAGGACTCAGGAAGCTCCTGCACCCCAGAACACATAAAAGATGTTTATGCTACCCAGTCCTGGTCTGCTTTTCCTGCCTCAACATCCTTGTTGCAGAAGATGCGTCCCTTGACTTCTCGGTCTCCTCGCTGATCTTGTACTTCTGTGTGTGGTTCCACAAGATGGGGACAGGGTCCTTGACCAACTGTCTCTTCAATAGCACTTGCTATACACCCTACACTTGTGTGTGTGTGTGTGTGTGTGTGTGTGTGTGTGTACATTCTAAGCTTCCTGAGGCCCGAGGAGGGTGTTGGGTATGGTCACTCTTTGCTTTATTTTTGGGACAGGGTTTCTCACTGAACCCGGAGCTGGGCTGGTGGCCAGTAAGCCCAAAGTGATCCTCTTATCTGCACGCTGTCCCTGCCCCTTGCCCAGCACTGAGATCAGCATCAAGGTGGAGGCCATGCCAGTTTTATGTGGGTGCTGGGGATCGGAAGGCAGGCCATCTCCCTGGCCCCAAATCTGCGTTTTAAAGGCCTGACCCCACAGTCCAGAAACCACTGCTGCTAATCTTTAAGGTATACCTCAAGTTCTGCCTCTCCTCAGCACCACTCCCTGCTCCTCCCTAGGCCTCCTTCCCCACTCCAGTCTCACAGCACTGCCAGAGAAAAAGTGGTACACGTGGGAGGGAGGTTTGGGCACAAGTGCAGCCATGGTTTCAGGAGTGTCTCTGAACCAGATGTAGCAGTACATGCTTGTGATCCCAGAACCTGGGGGGCAGGAGGATCGCCCACAGTTTGAGGCCACTCTGACTCAAAACAACAAAGGAGGCTGGCAGGATGGCTCAGTGGGTAAAGGTACTCTTTGCCAAGCCCAATAACCTGTGTTAGCTCCCCAGGAGAGACTGGTTGAGGGAGAAAGTTGTCCTCTGACCTCCACACACACACACATACCATGGCCCCAATGTGCCTACTGTAAGGATTTGGTCCTTATTTACGTCCTTTAATTACGTCATCAGCCTTCGCCGGCTTCCCAGCCTAAAAAGTGGGTGGGCCCTCTGTGGGCTCTCTGTCCCCTCTCCTTTCCGCTCCTTCCCCTGTCGGTCCCTCTCTCCCTCTCTCCCCCACCCTCCGTCTCTGTCTCTGTCTCTGTCTCTCTTTCTGTGTCTTTCTCTCTTTGTCTCTCCCCCCTCCCCAATAAAGCTCTAAAAATCCATGGCTGTGATTCTTTTAATCAGCACGCTCCTCCGCCGGCATGGCCACCACGGGCAGTGACCAGCCACGAGGGGCAGCGCCGTGGCATAACCAACATTGGTGCCGTTCAGACTCGGATACACCACCGAGCACCGAGGACCTGCTGACTGCTGCCGCCTCTTCCCCCATCCAGTGAGACCGCGAGCGCGCGAGCGCGTCCCTGGCCTCCTCTGCTGGACCCCCACACCGCCACCGCCATGATTCTTCACCACAGTAAGTCCGCTGTTCTGAGCTATATTCTTTGTGACGGACACCCCGGGGGTGTCCTCGAGCTGTACTAGCAATGGTACATTTTCGTTTCTGACGAGAAAGTAAATGCTGTCTTGGTCTACCGGGTGGATCAACTGCGGTGCAGCTGCAGCCCTTCGCATCCCTTGACGAAGAGGATGGCGAAGTTGAGCTGATTCATGGATTTCTCTCCACTCTTTGGGGACGCCCAAGATTGTAGTCTGATCCCGGTTTGTTATTTCAATTTTTTTATTTTTTCTCTCGGCTACAGCCATGGGACAAAAGGGCAGATATGTTGGTGGATAGGGGCGGGCACCAGTAAACCTGGCCTCATAACAGCGTAAATCTGGCCGCATAACAGAGTCACGGGAACTGATGCCACTTCTCCTTTATTGTCGGGTACAGAGGACAGCCTTACCACCTCACCTGATTTAATTGCACTTTCAGAGTTACTTAATAAAAAAAGATTTCCACCTAAAATAAGAGCTCATTGCTTCACTCCAGATCCACTGCCTGTGTTTCTCACGTGCATACAGACAGGGCCCTGATCTTTGCCTTGTCCCTAATTAAAAAAAAAAAAAAATTTCTCATGTACCACAAGCTTTTCTCTTCCCAGTTTCCTGTTCTAACTCACTGTTCAGCTAATGGTACAGGACCACCACAGAACCGGAGTCCAGAGATCATCAAATAAGAAACTGTAACAGCTAAAAGGTATTTACACCCCTAGACCCAAAAGCGTCTGGGCACTACAAAAAGACTTTAATGTAAACATCTATTACTATAAAATGCTTTTAACAATTGATCACCTGTCTCCTAGATGCTGAACCAGTAAAGGAAACAGGTACTTTAAAATAATCTGTCTCTGATAAAGCTTAACATGTTGTTTCAAAATCCATAGGGACAGGCCGGATCTACCTCAGATAAATGTCAACATAAAATAATAATGATTCTTTTATCTAAGTTTTTTTCTGTGTCACCAGCATCTTGTCAAACAAAAAGTTCCCAGCCACAGCCAAGAGGGATACATGTCTCCAGAGCAAACGGATGACAGAGAGCATCCCACAACGCCTGTCTACCTCGGAAGACTCCCCTTCTCCATTCCCCCAAGAGCCAACCAATGTCCAAAAGTCAGCTGGAAGCAGTTTTTGAGAGGAACGACGCCCCTAGTCCCATCTACCTGCTTTTTTTTATAATAAGGGAAAGTCTGGGATGTAAGGATTTGGTCCTTATTTACGTTCTTTAATTACGTCATCAGCCTTCGCCGGCTTCCCAGCCTAAAAAGTGGGTGGGCCCTCTGTGGGCTCTCTGTCCCCTCTCCTTTCCACTCCTTCCCCCGTCGGTCCACCTCTCCCTCTCCCCCCCCCGTGTCTCTGTCTCTGTCTCTGTGTCTTTCTCTCTCTGTCTCTCCCCCCTCCCCAATAAAGCTCTAAAAAGGTAACCATGGCTGTGATTCTTTTAATCAGCATGCTCTGCCAGCATGGCCGCTGCGGGCGGCGACCAGCCACGAGGGGCAGCTCCGTGGCATAACCAACACCCACCTCATCCCTACCCCCAGTAAACAAATAAACGTAATCTAAAATACTTTACCAACAAACAAACAAAACAAGACTGCTTCTGGAAACTGTAACAAACTCAGTTGAACAAAATTGGTTTTCAAAGACAGTTTCACTCCATTGGGTGGCTTTCTGGGCACCCATCTGTGAAAGGCCTCCAGGTCCTTTGGAACACAATTACCTGCTGCTCACTGGGCATCTGTGGTGGTTTGAAAGAAAATGGTCCCCATAGGAAGAGGCATTAATGGGAGGTGTGGCCTTGTGGAGGAAGTGGGTCGTTGTGGGGGTGGGCTTTGAGGTTTCCTATGCTCAAGCTACACCCAGTGAGACAGACCACTTCCTGTTGCCTGCAAGTCAAGATGTAGTACTCTCGGCTCCTTCTCCAGCACCATGTCTGCCTGCACGCTGCCATGTCCCACCACACTGACAATGGATTGAACCTCTGAACTGTGAGTGAGCCACCACAATGAAATGCTTTCCTTTATAGGAGTAGCTGTGGTCATGGTGTCTCTTCACAGCAATAGAAACCCTAACTCCAACCCCCATTCATCCATCTCTGCTGCCAGCCCTGACTCCTGCGGTTCCTGCAAAATCCAGACCCACTCATTTCAGGCTGGGGGTCTGGCTGTCTCTCCTCAGCCTGGGATGTTGATTCGTGATTTGCTTTCACCCTCAAGAAGCAAGGGTTTCGTTGACTCCCCTTACAAGGCTCACCCCTTCCCCACACTCTTTATTCCTTCACCTTTGCCCAAGGCTACCCCCCTGTGCACATTTAGTTATCTCCTGGCTTGTTAATGATCTGTTTCCCACTTGCTATGGACTCTGGGCCTGCTATACGTAAGGCTGAAGAGATGTCGGATGGACGAATAGAGAACATGGTTTTCTATTCTGCCATCCATTACTTAAGAGTGCACCAGAGGAAGAGCCTGACCTCTGAGCAGCACCTGTCATCAAGGGGCAGTGTCCGAGTTAGATGCAGCTGTTACCTTGTTGGAGCCTAGAGTCAAGGCTCTTACAGAAAGGAAGGAAGGGGTGTGATCACTGGTTGTTTTGTGTTTTGGGTAACTAAACTTTTTATTATTACTGGCAGGGGGTGTATGTGCCACGGAATACACGTGGGAGTTAGAGGACATCATGCAGGAGTCGGTTCTTTCCTCTCCACCACGTGGGTCCCAGGGATTAAACTCAGGCCATTATGCTTGGTGGCAAGCACCTTTACCTGCTGAGCCATCTAAACCAGCCCTCCTAGTAAGATTTTAAAGATTCGGTCTACTTTTAATTATGTGTGTGTGTCTGTATGAGGTTATGTGCACGTGAGTGCATGAGCTTGCAGAGGCCAGAAGCGGCCATCATGATGTCCCTGGAGCCGGGGTTACAGGCAGTTGGGAGCCACCCGACATGGGTGCTGGCAGTTCCAGTCCTCTGGAAGGGCGGTGTGGGGTACTTTTGTTTGTCTTTGGTTTTTCAAGACAGGAGTTCTCTGTGTAGCCCTGGCTGGCCTCAAACTCACAGAGATCCACCTGCCTCTGCCTCCTGAATGCTGGGACAGGATTTCTCTGTGTAGTTCTGGCTGTCCTGGAACTCATTCCTGGAACTCATTCCTGGAACTCATTCTGTAGACCATGCTGGCCTCGAACTCAGAGATCCACCTGCCTCTGCCTCCTGAGTGCTGGGATTAAAGGCCTGGGCTACCACCTGGCTGCAGTGTGTGATCTTAATGGAGTGAGTACCATGGAGTCTGTGTTAGGATTTCTACACTTAGAATGTAAAGTTCATTTAGTAATTTAAATATACAGGTAGACACACTGTGTGGACACTCTTGCTGCTTTTCTCCCCTGGACAGCTAAAAAAAAAAAAAAAAAGACAACAGAGGAGTTTATATTTGTTTAATACTTGCATTGTTTCTATAGCGCAATTATAGCAATCTTTAAGTTTACTTTTCATTACAAATATTTGTCAAGTTTTATTTCAGAAACATTTTTCCTACTTTCTTGCACATGCGCCCAGACACACTACAAAAAATTCATTCATAACACATTAAGGGCAAACATTACTCATGTAAACATCTTCCATTAATTTCCCATAATTTAAAAAATCATAGAATTATAGATATTGAATAAGGCTCATAGATTTAGTTCAAATTCCACAAAAGACCAAAGATGTTGTTGTTGTTTTTTTTTTAAACTGTGATGTGGTTGACTTTTGGTTACAATCAAGGCCGAAAGAAAGCGTAACCCCTGGCTTCCATTCCATAAACATACCTCACAACCCAATACATGCATTTTAGGATAGAAAGAACATAGAAAACCCAGGAGGAAAAACATTTGAAGAAGGGAGCTAAAAATCATGGACATAACTTCATAACTTTCTTATGCAACCACCAGGCATGACATACACAGTCCCTGTAGTATCAAGAGAAATTCTAGTAACTGAGTAGGTAGAGGAGAGGGCACCGGCTCAGTGTTCATATTGCTAGTGTACACAGTGAAAATTTGTCAGACTATTGTTTCATTGTATCCAGGGCCAAAGGTGGGTTGGGGAACGAGCTCGAGTGGCATGTCATCGTAAGGGACTTTTTGTTTTGTTTTGTTTTCCTTTCTAGTATCTCAAGCGTCGGAAGAATTGGGAGGTATGTCTTAGGTACATGAATGGTCTTCATAGTAAAATGACATTTAACAACCGTGTAAAGTCACAGACAGGAATCAAGGGTTTCCATTATCCGCGGAAGTCTCCCTCTCTGGCTGAAGTTGGGTGCTTAGATGCATAGTCTTCCAGAGCTGAGACAGGATATGGACTGTGCTGAGCATGGCCCCTGCCAGCGGCTGCCCTCCCTCTGAGGGAGGGCAGAAGGCAAAAAGCATTGGTAAATCTGTGAAGTCCCACCCTGGGGTCTGGACCCCAACTCCACTGAGGGTAGCCTCCCTGACATTGTGACTAGGCAGTTAGGGGTGGTAAGTGAAGGTGGCCGGGAAACCCAGTTCTGAGGTCTACACGGCCAAGTCTGGTTTCTGATTCTGCTGCCCTGCAAAGAAATTGTGCTCCGAGAACTGCACCAGTATCTCTAATGCCTCGATTCACGCTCAGGCCCCCCAGGGGGCCTGCAGGGAATCACTAAAAGGTAAACACACCTCCATTAGCACCGAACTTACCACCAGAAAGCGGCTGAGGCACTGGGAAGCCTACCTGCATCAGACCCCACCCCGCCAGGAGGTGGGCGCCAGTCAGAGGGCTCTTGTAGGCTTTTGATTTCTAAAAATGAAAACTGATCTGCATTATATCTCAATAGACTCAGATAATTCTCACCAAAAATTTTGTCGTGTGTTTAAATAGCACTGGAATAATTCAACTTCATTTAAATATATTCATTCTACCATGAAAATATTTCATACAAACATCTATTTACATACAAACACATTAAAATTTGTGAAAAGGGTTTCCACCCCTGTGGCTGTATGGCTTGAAATAGTTTCATTGCTTTGAATATGTATGCACACGTTTGGCAAAGAAAACTTTTAAAATTTAGTATTATTGAAAACAACCCCCCCAAAAAAAAACCCAAAAAACAAAAAACCCCAAACCAAACAAAAAACCCAAAACCCCCCACAAAAAACTCTCCAAAACCAAACAAAACAAAGCAAAAAAAAAAAAAAAAAAAAAAAAAAAAAAAACCAACAAAAAAAAAAACCAAACCAAAACCCTGACACCAAGGCTTAAAATTTCTGAAGGGAAAAAAATCCAAGGTGTATGTTGAGGAATATATCAAGGTACCTCAAGTACCTGCAAATTGAATATATTTGTGAACCTTTGATCTGCAGCAAATAAACATTACAACTATCCATCTTGCAACATAGTTTCACTTGTTTGTCTAAAACAAAAGATGTCTGGATTCTAAATGGCTACTCTGAAGACAGAACTTGGGGAGGGCTGTGTGAGCGCAAACACCACCCAGGATTTTTGACCTTCCTGGAAGATTTTAAATATATCTTGCAGTGAGAAATTTAGATTTTTTAAAAAATCTATTAAGTGAAGATTAATAAAAGTGCCACATACTGTCTCACTAAGACAAACTTTTAATTCAGTGTTCATAATTGACTCCCCCCAATATTAGGAATGTAATCCAGGGCCTCTATAGTTTTTAGGCAAATGTTGGACCACTGAGCTATATCCCCAGCTCAATGCAATTTTAATTGTCACAATTAAATGTTATAAATGGTTACATGGCCTTGACAGTTTGCGTGTGTGTGTGTGTGTGTGTGTGTGTGTGTGTGTGTGTGTGTGTGTGTGTCTCGGGGTGGTGGTGGTGATAGGGAAATCGTTTTTCAAGTGTGATGAACCCCAAAGGGTAATGAATCTGAACTCTAGTCCCAGTCAGGTTCCAAGAGGTCTTGACAAAGAATTTCCTCTGGGATTAAGCAGGTTAAAATAAGAATAGGTACTAAGAAACTCAAGTCCTCCCAGCCTGTTACTTTCTAGCCTCATCTCATTCTCTTGCATCCTAAATTCAGTCCTTACATTTGCTTTTGTTAGTTCAAACAAATGCCCCACTAGGGGACATGCTCTGTAGATTAGTTCCTATTCCTAAGTCTAACACAAGGTAATAGTTCATCATAGAAAAGATGCTAATGATGGGTCAAGTCATGCAGGGTTGAACCGAGACAGCTCTGAATGAATCCCCACGGCGTCAGTGCACAGGCTCCGGCTGTCTGGAAGACAGCGGAAGGTTAAATCTTTTCCCCCTACCACGTAGAATCTCAACCATGTCTGCTTGTGATTTTGATCCTGATGGAAGACCAGATTTATCTGCTTCTTATTTCCTACTACAGCAGATGGGAAGTAAGTAGAAGGTGCTTTTCCGCTTCGGGTCAAACTAGGAACAAACCTCAACTCCCCCTAAGCAGTCAATTCTCTATGCAACCTCTACCCTGCTGACTCCTCTACCTCTCCAGTGACTCTCTGGCCCCTTTAACAGTTGCAACCTGTGACAAAGCTGGATATCTTGGGGAGCGGGGAAACAGAATGACTGGACCAGGTCACTCAGGGAAAGGCACACAGTGTAGCAAGAGAGGAGAGGAACTCTAGACATAAAGAGGCAGAGCAAAGAGCTGGGCTGCCGTTCTGCACACACACCAAGGCTTCTCACACAGCAGAAGAAAAAGAGCTGAAAGACACAGGAAATATACAGGGAGAGGGAAGACGGAGAAGCTCAGCTGTGTGAATTGCTTCCTGGGATTTGTCTAAGGGTCACGTACACAGCGCTGGGCTGGAAGCCCAGACCGCCTTCCTCCAGTGTGGAATGTGAAACGCAGATTTGCTAGCTCATCAGCCAGAGTCCTTCAATCCCTTCATACATTAAAAAAAAAAAAAAAAGATTTATAGTTTTTTGTATGTGGGGGAACACATGCCACACTGTGTGTGGTCAGAGGACAGCTTTCAGGAGTTGGTTTTCTCCTGCTATGGAGGTCCTAGAGATGAACTCAGGTCATAGGCTCGGCAGCAAGCATCTTTACCTGTTAAACTATTTTGCTGGCCCTCAAGCCCCCAAAATTGTTTTTGAGTTCCATTTGAATGAGATTGCTAGAGTAGCCCTTTAGGATAGAAGTTGAGCCCCCATGGCAACTAAGACTACTTCCAACTCCAGGTGTGAAATCCTGGGGCACACCGTCCAAGGCAGGGCCTGCCCTCTCTCCCTCTGCCTCATCTCTCGACCGAGTCCAAACCTGACTGGTGGAGCTGAAGAAAGCCATCTTTCTCCCCAAGGCAGCTAACTCTCTTTGGACACATTTACATGAAAGCACCTCTCAGAACTCAAATCCACAGACCCATCCTTCTGTCACAGTTTACTGAGTGGTCTCTTTCTACAGAATAGAAGCAATCCTATCCTGGAGACTTGTAGTCTAAAAATGATTCAGTCACCTTGCAGGAGACCTCCTCAGAAGTTCCAAGGACGTTTCTCCTGAGTGAACTATCTTCTTAAAAGCTTTCAAACAGGGACGTGACCAGCTCTCCTGGAAAGCACCGCCATCTAGGTGCAGAGCCTGAAGCTGGGTGTGTTAGGAAGCTTGTAAAAGAGCCCAGGGTGTGGCTATCGGAGCTGAGGGCTGAGTCTTCCGTTCCGGGGCTGCTCCGACGGGCAAACTGTGCAGCCCCAGATGGAACACTTGTGAAAGCTGTTTTTAAAGACAAAAAAAAAAAGAGCCAACTGCCCTCTACCTGTCTCCTCCCTCCAACCCCACCCACTCCCAGCAAGCATCTCTCTGCATTCGGAGCTCCCTCAAAAGCTTAAACCAAGCAGGCCGCACAAACGGCACTGTTGACAGCTGCAGACTTCAGCAGCTGTGGTTCCCAGGTTTCCTTGTGACGGAGTGACGCCCTGGGGGAGGGGCCCCCCAAACTCAGCATTCATTCAGAGCAATCCAGTTATGTTACAGATCTCATGTGCTAAACTAAAACAATGGGTTTTCCTCTGTATTTCTGCAGTTGTGATTACATATGGCTTGTGTGAGGTGGCAATATGCTAGTGATAGAAAGTGCACAGGTGTGAACTCTGGGCTCGCAGAGCGTGGAAGCAGTTAAGTGCTTGGAGACCACTGTGGTGAGAAGCTTTAGCTACAGATCTGACTTGCACCTAGTGATCAGCATGTCTGTCTCCTCGGCACTGGTTTCAAAGAGAACTCTGCATTCTGGGTTGGAATGCAGGTCGGCTATTGTATTTCGAATTCAGTGAGCTGTGTCACAAGCCAGACTGCACTAGGTTATGTACAATTAGTGTGTACCCGAGGAGAAAAAATTGCCAGCACTACTGAATATATTGCAAAATTGCCACAATGACTGCTTAGAAATACTAATGTTCCTCTCCCTGAAAGTGTATCTTACAACTCTCTGGTAACTTAATGCAAACAGAGCAAATTCATTTCTTCTCACATCTGAAAGCAAAGGTATCTTTGTTTACATGCGAGAATAATAAGTCTATAGTAACAGTCTGGCCCTATGAGCCAGTACTTTATATCAGGACATAAGAATGAAATGATAGAGAAAGAACCAGAGAGACCTGGACACTGCTATGAATGCAAAATCCATTTGGAAGCTTTCTCTTGTAAAGGATAGCTAAGATAAGAAGTGAGGCTAGAGAAAAGACTCAGAAGACTGGGCTTCGGTTCACTAGGAGAGTAACAACAGAAACAAAGCCATTCTATTGCAAGATACAGATCAAAGGTTAAAAGGCAAATAAATGACCCTACATTTATATAAAGATGTAATCGCTTCCTGCCCCGCAGATGGCAACATGCAAGGGTGATCGAACACCATTTGCAATGGCCATAGAAAAAAACATCATGGAAAAAAACCACTGACGGAAAAATGACTGAAGAATCCCAGTTCCCTTTTTCAACCCAATCATTTGGTATCTCTGAACGTGGTCCAGATTTAGACTTCAACCATCAAAGAACATCATGCTGTCTACAGTTCAACAGTACCTCTCAGTAGGGCGTTACTGCAAGGCTAGCTAATTTTAAATCTGGTATGAGTAATACAGTCAAACCTAGTTAGTATGCGAGAAAGTCGTTGCTAACGCAGGGTGAGAGGATGTGATGTCACAGCATGAACAGTCCCTGGTTGTCCCGTTGTCAGATAAATGTAGTGCATAGATCCAAGTTTCTATTCCAGGTCTCCGGACCCCAGGGCCAGGTCTTTCACTTTTGCTGGGTGGCCTGGAAGGCCTTCAGCTCTACCTGGTACCACTCGGGGGCTTCGGGCCCGCTCTTCCCTGGGGGGCTGTGGTCATAGCCATAGGCCACGGTCAGCTCTTCCTCAGCTTCCACAGCTCGCAGGGTGCGGATGCACTTGATGGGCCCAAAACGGGGGTGGACAAACCTAAACACCAAGATAAGAAAGATCATTCCTGGGCCAACCCAGGACCTCAGTGGCAGAGGGGGGCCTCTTGCCCACGGACACTGGCTGGGCATCACTCCTGTGTTCTCAGGGTGTGGGCATGCCTTCACCAGCTTCAGCAGGAGCTTCTAAGACAAGGAGCGTCTCAGCCCCAGCCCCAGATCTGCTGGGCCAGAACACTCCAGGCTGGGCATGTAGCTCGGTTGACAGAGTGTTGACCTAGCCTGCCTGGAATCCTGGGCTCTCTCTTCAATATTTCATAAACCAGGCATTGGTGGTGCATGCCTGTAGTCCCAGCACGTAGGAGGTGGGGCAGGAGAATCAGACATCAAGGTTATCCTTGGCTTCATAAAGAATTTGAGGCCAGCCTGGGATATGTAACATCCTGTTTTAAAAATAAAACCCCAAATCCCACAGAATACCCCCAGACAGCGCACTGGCATTTACTGTATTCGTGTATGTGTGTGTGTGTGTGTGTGTGTGTGTGTGTGTGTGTGTGTGTGTGTGTGCGCGCGCGTGCGTACAACATGCTGTCACAGCACATGTTGGGGTGGTCAGAGGACAACTTGCAGAAGTTGGTCCTTTCCTCCCACTGTGTGGGTCCTGGGGATTAAACTCAGGTCTTCAGGCTTGGTGACAAGTGCCTTTACCTGTCAAGCCATCTTGCTAGACCCTGTCCTTCATTTAGAGCCCCATGATGAAGTAAGACAGAGGATACATCAAACGGGAAGGAGCTAGCCTTAAATCAGATTGGCCTCTGTGGCCTGATGGAGCTAAGCATTTGGCTGTCTCCTCCACTTGTGGAGAAAAGTGTCTGTCGGAGGCATTTTTAGAGCACTGGGATAGAACCAAGGACCAAGCACTGTCCCAGGGCTTATGTTCCCAGCCTTGTGTGTATGGTTCGGAATAACTTTTATTTGGTATAAAAACAAACATCCCCCATTGGACACCAGAGAGGCCTGCCTCTATCTTGTTTGAGTATCACACTTCATGAAAGGGGCATTTCCCTTGGGGTTAGGATACTGGCTGTAAGTTCTGGTTTCTTATGTATCACTGTGTCCCATTATGTTCCTATCTTCCTGAATTTCACTTTCCTGATCTGTAAAATCAGGACAATACTAGTAAGACTTACCCTAGATAGTCTCTGTGGTGAGAAAATGGGGTCCCATGTAGCGAGTCCCTCACACAGTGCCTGGTACAAAATGAGACTCTACTATTGGTTACTATGCATGTGAACATGTACATGTGTGGATACGTGTATAGGGGTGTGAGCATGTATGTATGTGGGTTATGTGAATGAGCACTTATGAGTCATGTGTGGACATTCATCTGAGTACATGTGTGCATATACATGTGTATGTGAGCATGTGTGCCCGCAGCATTCAGATTATGCTCCTTCACAAAGATGTCCAGACCATGGAATCAGGAATTCTTTGTCATTGTGGCTTTTGGCTGAGAACAGAGCTAGTGCTAGAGTACTTGCCTGGCATTTAGAAAGCCCTGGCAAGATCACAATTTTGTATGTATGTATGTGTGTGTGTGTGTGTGTGTGTGTGTGTGTGTGTGTGTGTGTCTGTCTGTCTGTCTGTCTGTCTACCTACTTACCTATAAATAAGCGTGGTAGTTTGAATGAAAACAGCCCCCATTGGCTCACAAGGAGTGGTACTATTGGGAGGTGTGGCCTTGTTGGAGAAAGTGCATCACTGGGGGTGGGCTTTTGGGGTTTCAGAAGCCCAAGCCAGGCCCAGTGTCTCTCTCTTCCTGCTGCCTGTCGATGCAGATGTAGAACTCTCAGCTACTGTTCCAGCACCATGTCTGCCTGCACACCACCACGCTTCCTGCCATGATGACAATGAACTAAACCTATCTCTGAACGGTGAGCTAGCCCCAACTAAATGTTTTCCTTAGTAAGAGTTGTTGTGGTCATGACGTCTCTTCAAAGTAACAGAAACCCTAACTAAGACAGAAGTAAGTGTATGACTGTATAGCTCTGGCTTGCCTGGAACTCACTAGGTAGACCAGGCTAGCTTTGAACTCAGAGAGATCTACCTACCTCTGCCTCCCGAGTGCTGAGATTAAAGACCTGAGCTATAGTGCCAGGCGACTTTGTCTTTAAGTTGACACATTTCATTATAATTTGTGTCATATGATTTCAATATGAAAATTAAATAATGCTCCTGAAATGGAGATTTGATTAACGTTCTAGAAGATCCACTGGGATGGGGGAGGGGAATCTGATGTTGAATTTTTGGGCCTAAGGCTTCTTTTCCAATGTTCTGGTCGCTTTATTCCCATGTTCATTGTCACTGTCGACTTTTTATTTTGATGTTTTTGTTGTTACTTATTTTTTAATTCAATTATTTTTTTGTTTTGTTTTTTTCAAGACAGGGTTTCTCTGTGTAACCCTGGCTGTCCTAAAACTCACTCTGTAGACCAGGCTGTCCTCAAACTCGAGGTCCGCCTGCCTCTGCCTCCCAGTGCTGGGGCTAAGGAACTCAGTCTCCTCCTGCCTCAGACTTCCAGGAGCTGGAATTATAGGTGGGCACCACCACACCCAGCCTCCCATTAGTTTGAATAGACAGAATAAAAAGGAAGAACTTGGTTTCCGGTGTTAAGGCTTGGCCAGGGACTGCACTGTCCACTCCACCTCCAGATTCGAGACATAACTGACTGGGAGTTTTCAGGAGAACTGAATGAGATAAAACGTGAAAAGCATCTGGAGTAGGGCTAGGGTATATGGTCAGAGTATGAGTTACCATGTGTGAGCTCCTGGGTTCAATCTCTAACACAAGGAAAGGAGGAATGAGGGGAGGAAGGGAGAGAGGGACCCAGAATGAATGCTCAGAGCTCATGGCTATAGAAATAGCAATGAACCCAAACCTCTGGGCCACATAGTTCTGGACCTTGGCTGACACGTTACCATATTTACAGGTAGGGAAAGTGCTTGTGTGATTGTCTCTGGGCATTTTGTGCCAGACTTCAGTGAAAGCAGCATAGAGAAATGCTGTCTCACTTATATTAATGCATATATTAATGCCAGTGACTTGAGGAAACACACAGATGCCGGGAATTGGAATCTGAAGTTTACATTTGGTTATTATTCAAGGAGTCATTACCCCATAGAATGGGTTTTGGCCACACTGGGTTTGCTTGCAAAACAATTATCAACAACAAAACAAAGAAAACAGCCAGGCAGTGGAGGCACACGCCTTTAATCCCAGCACTTAGGAAGCAGGATCTATGAGTTCAAGGCCAGCCTGCCTGATCTATAAATCGAGTTCCAGGACAGCCAGGGCTACACAGAAAACCCTTGTCTCGAAACTCTCCCCCACTCCAACAAACAAACAAGAAAGGAAGCAAGCAAACAAACAAAAAACCCACCATCCACAACAACAAAACAAACACCACCGAAGAAAACAAACCAAATAAATAAATAAATAAATAAAACCTGCTGAGCAGGGATTGATTTTGCACAAACAGAAACTTCTCTTGTTTCCAGTTCTCTATTGCGTTTGGAGAGAAAAACTGTCCTTGTGAAGTCACAGACAGGCCTGATTCCAATGAGGGGTCTGAGTGGTATGTAGGGGCTGTTGTTATTGGGCACAGCTGGGAATGGGCTTTAGCCAAATTCACGCTAGCTGTGAAAGCCCCGAAGCTAATAACAGCATCAGCCTCATTTCACTTGACACATGTCCTTTGCCATTTCAGCCAGCCCATTAGAAGCAGCTGGAGCACCAACACTTGTTATTGGCTGCCAAGGAGAGCTAGTCACCGCCAGGATGATTTCCAAGACATCTCAAGGACGAGTCTCAGGACATTTCCCAGCAGGCGCCAAATCCTGGCAAGGTCTCACAGATGAAATGTCCAGAGCGTGATCTTGCACAGCAGAGGGGCTGCGGCTACAGCGTCAAGCAGGGAAGGGTATGCTCTAGGGCCACACTGCCATTCCCATTATCTGTGTGCACATGTGTGTGTGTGCACAGTTATGACTGCACCTGAGTGAGTGAGTGCATGTGTGTGTGTGTGTGTGTGTGTGTGTGTGTGTGTGTGTGTGTGTGTGTGTAGGTCAAAGGGGGACAACTTCAGGTGTGGTCCTCAAACACCATCCACCCTGTTTTTTGACTGGGTCTCTCACTAGCCTGGAACTTCCTGATGAGGCTGACTAGCCAGTGAGCCCAGGGAATGATCCTGCTTCTGCCTCCTCAGTGCTTGGAGTACCCTCTCCCATACTCAGCTTTTCATATAGGTGCTGGGTGGGGACTGCACACAAGTCTCCACGCTTCTGCAGCAAGCCCTTGGATGACTTAACTGCTTCTTCCCTCTCTATCCCTGCAATGTAATCCTTAAATGAGAAAAAAAAAAAAATCTAAGGGCAAGTAAGGACAGCAGTAAAACAGCCACCATACCATACTTCTATGATAGTTCTACTTCCGAAATCACTTTCTTTTCATCTCACGGCTAGAAAGCAGGCTGTTCAGATCTTGAACCTTAAACCACAAGGCTGAGGTGCACGGCAAAGGGCCCACCTTTCACACGCCCTCCTGGGTCCTGGAGCCCCTCAGCATAGATCCTTCCAGCCACTGGCATCTACTTACATGTCATAGATGCAGTTTGGAGTGAAGGAGTGATTCGCCTTGTGTCCCAGGGAGGCACAGTACTTGGATACACGGTTGTAGGGCTCAGGCACATCAATGACTATTTCCTCATCAAGGGACAGAGTGTTCCCGTTTAGGGCCCAATCCCTGCTGTCAACCTGCAAAACAGGGCCGTGGTGCTTGAGAGGGCCGTTCTCCCCAAAGCTCAAAGCACAGCAGAGGCTGTACCTCATTTACCTTAACACTTCAGAGTCTGAGCACTGCAGACACAGAGGAAGCCAGCCAAGACATCTTCCCACACAAGATTGGCGCAACCAGACAGCTCAACTTACTGTTTATTGTATTTCCCTTGTTTTATATAGAAGAAAAGGATTTTGATTCTTTACAAAGGCGCACAAAAATATCAGATAAACTTGAACTAAAAATAAATGAAGAAGAGGCTGTTGAGAGGGCTTTGTGGGCACAGGTGCTGACTACCAAGACTGAACGCCTGAGGTCAGGCCACAGAAGCCACGTGGCTAGAGAGAACCTACCCCTGGAAGTTGTCCGCGGCCCTCCACTGTTGAACAATGGCACATGATCCTCCAAATAAATACATGTTTTTGTTTTTGTTTTATTCCCTGAGATAAGGTTTCTCTGTGTACCGCTGGCTGTTCTGGAACTCACTCTGTAGACCCGGCTGGCCTTGAACTTGGGAGATTTGCCTGTCTCTGCCTCCCAAGAACTGGGACTAAGGGGTGTGCCACCACTGTCCAGCCAGCAATGTACTTTAAAAACATCTGAGCTAGAGATGGCTCAGTGGTTAAGAGTACTGGCTGTTCTTTCAGAGGACTCGAGTTCAATTCCCAGCACCCACATGGCAGCTCACAACTGTCTGTAACTCCAATTCCAGGGGATCTGACACCTTCACACCAATGCACATAAGATAAATAGAAAAGAAAAATCTATAAAAAGGCCCACACCTCCGCCCCAGTGGAGGAACCAGGGTGAGCAGGAGGCCGTCTGCAAGCCAGTGTGCTGGTCTACCTGGGCTCGTGCTCAGTGGAGGAACCAGGGTGAGCAGGAGGCCGTCTGCAAGCCAGTGTGCTGGTCTACCTGGGCTCGTGCTCACCGTCCACAGCACAACCACTTGGCTTCTTCAGGCTGGACACTGGGAGGCCAGCAGAAGAGCCTGATGGGCCCTTTTAGAAAGGGTCATATTTTCGTAGAACTTGTAAATCTAGCAGACACGTGCAACCTTCCGACACTGCAACACACTTGTCATCTACACCTCATGTTTGTGAGCCAAACCATCGAGTTTAAAAACAAAACCATCTCTCTTAAGTCTTAAGTAAACTTACAACTTTGTTTAGGCTGTGTCTGAAGTTATCCTTGGCCCCAAGTAGCCTGTGGATCACAGGACGGACAGACACCTCTCCTAGATAAACCAACCGTTCCTCCGAGACATTGCGTTTATATGTGACAGTCAGTCAATAAACTGGGCAGTTGCCACAAGCAGCAGTATCAAACATGAGGAAGGTCCCCTTGGATCTCATTGTTCCCAGCCTATCATGTAACCACGCAACACTGACAGGCTGTATGCCGTGTTGTTTGCTGTGAATTACTCTTAGGTGTATAGCAGGGTCTAAACTTCCCTGGGTGCGAGGGGCCTGTGAATCATCACAGCGGCAGATGCTGGCCTGGCTTGAACTATGCCTCCCACTGCGTTTGTGACCTTGGGCAAACTGTTTAATCTCTCTAGGTTTCCATTTTTCTCATCTGCAAAATGTTTGAATGAAGAGGCATGGGTTTAATATTTAAAAGTCCAGAATGCTTCCACATTCAAAACTTTTTGAGGCTGATTTATACAACTGGAAGAAGCCACACCTGACCATATGACAGGTCACGGGCAAAATGCAGACACAATAAAAATATGGAATAACTGCTTCCCAGCTATGTACACAAGAAACACTAAATTTCATATTTTGACTGGGGTCCCATCCCTAAGATGATTATAAAAATGCAAATATTTAAAAACCCCGGATTCCTAACATTTCTGGTCCCGAGCATTTCAGATAAGGGGTGCTCCACCTGTAATACACCCTTACCCCAAAGCCACCCTTTCCCTGCTCAGTGTCTTGGACCTCCTGGAGGCCTGGTGAAGTACAGCCATCTGTGTGGATGCCATCTGCTCCACCTGAGTATTTTGTTGTCTTTTGCCTGCCCAGGTGCTTTGAATGTGTGACTAATTGGAACAATTTGTGGAATGTTCTCTTATTAGCCACAGGAATAAGTGGCAAAGCAGAGACCTGAATGTGAAGAGGTACCAGTCATGACCTAAGCCCTGTGCGTGGACTAGAAGTGTGGCCACGATGGGGCTCAAGGACTGTGCTGGAGGTGCAGACTTGGCCCTAAACAGACACCAAGGAGTCAGCTGTGAGGTGGAGAAACAACCAGGGCCATCGGCCAAGTTCTAAACATGCCAAAGACCGTGTTTTCAAGGCAAGGGGTGGTGTGTGTGTCACCAATACGTGTGGGGGGGCTGGAGAACAACGTCAGTGTCCTTCCCGGGTGTTCGCCATGGTTGTTTACCTCCTTTCCTTCCTTCCTTTCTCCCTCCCTCCCTCCCTTGTTTTGTTTTTTGAGACAAGGTCTCTCTGTGTATGTAGCCCAGGCTGGCCTGGAACTCACAGAGATCTGCCTGCCTCTGCCTCCTGAGTGCTGGGATTAAACGTACTCGCCACCACCACCAGCAAAAAGTACAGGTCACCTTTTTTTTTTTGGAGACAGAGTTTCTCTGTGTACTCCTGCCTGTCCTGGAACCGCCCCCCCCCCCCCCCCCATGCCTTTGGTTTCTCCCCAGATCCCCGCCCCTCTCTCAGATAGGACCTTCATCTATACAGCCCGGGCTTTGCCTGGAACTCATAATTCTCCTGTCTCATCCTCATAAATGCTGGGGTTATGGAAGCACACTTCACCCGACACACCCTCACGATTCTGAGAACAGATGAAGGACAGGTTGAAAAGGACTCATTTTCAGGTGTTGAGGCTCACATGGGGACACAGCCGCACAATGTCAATGACACTTGGCTCATGAGATCCTCATGCTTTGTGCTCCCAAGTGCTAAGATTACAGGCCCCCACCACCATATCCTGCCTTATTAAACATTTAGCAGTTGAGTTTGGATTTTTTTCCACTGAAAACACTTTCTAGCAAGACAGAGGCTATTGTATGACTTTTCATTAACAGAAGGAGGGGGCGTCCCTAAAACAGCACCGTGTTGGAGGCTATTAGTTACTAAGAATCTGACTGGATCTTGGTTTCAGATGTTGGGTGTTGTCTAGAGGAAATCCGTGACTGTCATCATCCCACTTTCTTTTTTTTTTTTTTTAAAAAGATGTATTTATTCATTATGTATACAGTGTTCTGCCTGCATGTATGCCTGAGCACCAGATCTCATTATGGATGGTTGTGAGCTGCCATGTGGGTGCTGGGAATGGAACTCAGGACCTCACAAAGAACAGTCAGTGCTCTTAACCTCTGAGCCATCTCTCCAGTCCCATCATCCCACCTTCTAGGAAATAGTTGTGGACCGCGAGAGTGGCTTTATCTGAGCCCTTTAATCGGTTAGGCTGATGCTCACCTCTTTCCACTTACCTCTTGGTGTGTAATCCGGACTCCATTATAAAAAGACATAACAGTATTGGGTCCTACTGCTACCTTGGAAAATAGTCCTTCTCCGGCACTGGAGATGAGAGAGTCGGCAACATAAACTCTAAAAAAGAGGAAAAAAGAATAATAGAATCATAAGATTTTCAGTGTGATGGGTCACTCTTGCTGTCAATCACTAAAATTCCATGATAGTTACTGAATCCCAAATGACAGTTCCCAATTAGTCAACAAAAGAGGGGAGGGTGAGAAATTAAACCACGATATGCTCGCAACAGTAATGGAAGGAATAACTTTGTCTCTTTAGGAGTTGTATTTAAAATGAACTCCACCCGCCTCCTTTAGATTGGGTATCTGGCTTAGGGTATCTGCCTCAGACTTGTTCTGGAGCCAATTACAATCAGGAACTTCATTTTTTTTCCCTTTTGGACAGGGTTTCTCTGTTTAACCCTGGCTGTTCTAGAACTCTCTATGTAAACTCACAGCATCTGCCTCCTGCCTCTGTCTCCTTCCTGAGTGCTGGGATTAAAGGTGCGAGCCACTGGGCCTGGTGATAACCACCTGGTGGTAACTAGGGACTTCTAATCCTCCTGATTCCACCTCTTGAGTGACCAGTTTTCTGTGGTGTTGGAGATCAAACCTAGGGCTTTGTGAATGCAAGGCGTGCATCAACTGAGCTGCATCCCCAGGCCTCAGACGATGTCTTCTCCTGGGCTGGGGAGATGGCTGCTCTTCCAGAGGATTTGGGTTTGATTCCCAGCATCCACATGGCATCTCACAACCATTTGTAACTCCAGTTCCAGGGGTCTTATAGCTTGGTCTCATGGAGGCATTTCCTTCCTCTCTGATGACTCTAGCTTGTGTCAAGTTGACACACAAACCAGCCAGCCTAGTACTTGATAGACCTTTTTGAAAAAGAAGCTAATGTTTATAGTTAATGACAAGAAAACATTCCCCAAATTTACTAACACTGTTCTCAAATTTCTCAAAGTCAGGCAACAGAGGAAGACTATTATTTAGTTAAATGACAAGATAGACTGTTTATACAAACAGTGACAATTAAGACATATCCAACAAGCATTTCCCTACGGAGGGGTTAAAGGAGAGGTCAGCTAACTACAGGTCAAATCTGATTGCCGCTCATTTTTGTTGATAAAGTTTTATTGAGACACAGCTGCCTTCCCCAGTTGGTTTAAGACTGTGACTGCTGTAGTCAAATGCAGAGCTGAATCTGTTCAATGGACAGCACAGGGCCTGCAAGTTCCCAAATTGTTCTTGATGTTCTTTCACAGAAAAAGGCTCCTAAACACTGTCTAATAAGAAAAGCACCCTCGGCTGTGGAACAGAGGTAATAAGAGCTTATGTTCCACTAACAAATCTTTGATTTCTTCATTTCTCTGTGCACTGTGATGGATGACCCATTAGGAAGTGGGCATCTGTAATTCTGGCTTATTTTATGGACTGGGAAGTCTGAATGATTGCTTCCAATTCTGCTCCTTCCCTGTGACAGAATGAAACATGTCACCCTTTTGCCAGGTGACCTCATGACACCTCCTTCGGTGCAGGTGGGGCATACATCCCCATCCTGCTGGCTTGGCTAGCAGAACATGGAGGAGGCCCTGCTGGTGGGTCTCAGGTGTTAAGAGACATGGCGAGTTTTTGCCAGTCTCTTCCAGTTTCCATTGTCTCCAGGAGAAGAATATGTCCCGGGGGCTGTTGTTCCTTTAGTCCAAGTCTTGGAAGGAAGAGATGGGAAACAGACCTGAACTCGACTTGAATCCTGGAGCTCAGCCTAGTCTGGCTGAGCCTGGTGAAGCCCAAGTAAAGATGGCTGAACCTAAGCCAACCCACAGAACCATGAGTATAATGTAATACAAAACGCTGGCCTCTGTAAACAGCTGAGCGGTTTGAGAGTTTTGGTTATGCAGGATTTCGCAACAGACTAGGCTGATAGATACAGCTGGCCCTGTGGTGTTTTGGGGCGAACACAGAAGCCAGTCTACACCCACTGGTCCTGGGCCAGAACTTCTTGTCAAAAAAAAAGGACATTCTCTCCCTGCCCGTGGCACTGTGGGATCAGCACTGTCGTTTAGACCAGGAAGAGGCTTGTTTCTTAGCCGGGAGCAGAAAGTAAACAAGAGGTAAGCCACGCCCCGAGGGGCTGTCCTTTCTCAGCAGAGCGGCTGAAGGAGGTAAGCCACGCCCCCAGGGGCTGTCCTTTCTCAGCAGAGCAGCGATAGGAGAATAGGGGAATTCTGGGCACTGAGAGTCCACGCTAGAGGGCAGTCATCCTCGTAGGTTAGGTATGGAATGGACAGACCTGACACAGAGGGATGTATTTATGCCTGCCATTGCTGCCTTTGCTTCTATCCTGCCTTCCCTGAGGAGTAAAGAAGTTGCTTTATGTTCCAAGGGTCAGGCTGGAGGTATAGGCTAGATTGACAGAGCATGGATTGCTCCCCTAGAGGACTGCATCATCAAGAGCCTTGAGAGCGCCTGCTTCCAAGCCTGACCCAAGGTTGAGCCCTTCCACATGGTGGAAAGAAAGAACTGATTTCAAAAGCTGTTCTCTGATTTCTACATGCATGCTAACCCAACGCCCCCCAGAGTCCCGAGAAAGGGTGGGACTGCCTGATCCAACGCTTTACCTAGAGAGTTCATTCTAGGACGGATGAGACATGAAGCTGCTTGATAACTAGAAACCTTCGGTGGACAGCCTCTATATTGGAATATAGTCTTCCTCAGAATGCACAAATACTTACTAGGAAGTGTGCCAAGGAAAAGTACTCATTATGGAGGAGGGACTTGGCTGGAGCAGGAGCCCAGCCTGAGCAGAGAGCCACAGAAGCCCAAGGGTGCCCGCCACCAGGGCATAGACAGTGCAATGAAAGCCACAAGGAAAGAGTTACCTCTCGGACTCATAAGGGTCTGGAAGGAGGGCATCACTAGAGATGCAGGAGGAAGTCGATTTATCAAAGTGGTACACGGAACCTAGAAGGCAAACCGACAGGTCAGTTCAGGTGGAGAGCCCGGCAGGACATGCAGATGTGGCTCCCCAGTCACAGGGCGAACCAAACAATCACACAGGCCACTCTAGTCATGCCAGCTAGAATAGCCAAGTGGGCATCTGTCAGGTTTACTCTTTGATTATGTTCTCCAATCTTGTCCTCTTTTTCTTTTTCCTTGGTGAGACAGGACCTTACTACCAAGTTGCCCAGCCTGGCTTTGTACTTTTTGTACTTGAGATTCTGTAGCTGAAGGTTTTCCTGTGCTCACCCACATCACGGACCCTTCAACCGCTTATGAAATAATCACTCAGAAGCTTATGTTAATTAAAACTGCCTGGCCATTAGCTCAGGCTTATTGCTGACTAGCTCTTATACTTAAACTCAGCCCATTTCTGTTAATCTCTGTGTTGCCATGTGTTCCATGGCTTTACCTGTGTGCCATTACATGCTGCTCCCTGGACATTGGGCTGGCATCTCCTGACTCAGCCTTTCAGCCTTCCCACAATTCTCCTTGTTTGCTGCCTGGCTACTGGCCAATCAGCAGCACATTCACAGCATACAGACCATCCCACAGCAAGATCCCCTTGCCTCAAGCTTCTGAGTCTGGTATTACAGGCCTGATTTATTTAAGTCTTTTTTTTTTTTTTTAATTTATTTATTTGTTGTATATAAAGTGTTCAGCCTGCATGTATGCCTGCAAGCCAGAAGAGGGCACCAGATCTCATTACAGATGGTTGTGAGCCACCATGTGGTTGCTGGGAGTTGAACTCAGGACCTCTGGAAGAGCAGCCAGTGCTCTTAACCTCTGAGCCATCTCTCCAGCCCTTATTTAAGTCTTAATGCACAGCCATCAGACTTAACTCTTAAGATTCCTATTTGTTGATTTTCCTTTATTCAAATGTCTTAAAATCTGCTTGTGTGCTTAAAACTTTAAGCAAAACACGTCGCAGAATTTTTGGATTTCTGTGATCAGAGTAAATTTGATATTGGTTTTTAAATTTCTTTGAGGTTTTCTTCATACCAGACAGTCTGTAAAATGTATAGCAGAGGCCAGCAGTTGACTTCCTCTCTGAGAGTAAAGTCAGCCTCATAGAACTATGGAGAACAACATTTCTCTGCATGAAGAGTCACTTGATTTCTAGCATGGTGGCTCAGATTACCGATCGGTCCTGAAAATAAGGTATAAAACTGTCCTAGGATTACTGTTGGCTTTCTGTTGACCTTGGCGAATCTTCACAGGGCAGAAGGTACGTTGGATTCTCCAAGTGTTCATAAACAAAGAAACAAGATTTGGACCCAGAGTGTGAACTCCTGCAAAGCCAATCATTTTTAGCACCAACATAACTAACAATCCCATTAATCGGTTCTTCAGTAGTCACCATGGTTACCAGCCCCTTTCCTGTTTTTTAAAATACAACATAAACCTAAATGAATGTCTCAAACCTAAGCTAGACTATGATCCAAATCAGTCAGTAACTGCCTAGGAAACAGACTACTTAAGTATTTCAAAAAGAGAACATTCAGCTGAGGAACTTGGTTATACAGGAGACAGAAGAGCTGTGAAGCCAAGCAGGGATCCAGGAGGAATTTAGAAGTGGGCTTGAGCAGGAAGCCTCCACCGACCTACTGAGCTGGGGATGGGAGAGGAGGTGGTGGTGTGTTCTTTCCAGGCTCCATAACACATCTGTGGCCAGCAGCCTCTCCAGGGCTTAAACAAACTCAGCAGTCAGATACACAGGAGCCTGGGGACAGGAGCAGCTGCCTGGCAGAGGACTACAAGGGATAATGTGATGGCTATTCTTGGTTGTCAACTTGACTACATCTGGAATTAACTAAAACCCAAGTGGCTAGGTGCACCTGTGAGGGATTTCTTTCTTTCTTTCTTTCTTTTTTTTTTTTTTTTGAGACAGGGTTTTTCTGTGTGTAGCCTTGGCTGTCCTGGATTTCTCTGTGGACCAGGCTGGCTTCAGACTCAGAGATCTGCCCGCCTCTGCCTCCTGAGTGGGATTAAAGGCATGCGCCACCACAGCTCAGCCACCTTGTGTTTTTGAGACAGGGTCTCTCTCAGCCTGGAGCTGGCTACCAAGCTCCAGGGATCTGTCTGTCTGTACCTCTCCAGTGCCATGTGGCTTTTGTATTTAGGTTCTAGAGATTGAACTCTGGTCTTTAGGCTTAGGTGGTAAGAAGCATTTTATCAACTGAACTATCTCCCTAGGTTCTGAAATAATAGTAAATATACAGAAAAGTACAAAGAAAGAAAGACTCTTCCCACTGTTTCTTCTAACATTAACTTTTAAAAAGGGTTTTACATTTAGTGTGTGTGTGTGTGTGTGTGTGTGTGTGTGTGTGTGAGAGAGAGAGAGAGAGAGAGAGAGAGAGAGAGAAAGAGAAAGAGAGAGAGAGAGATGCATGTGTGAGGTCAGAGGACAAATTTCAGGAGTTGACTCTCTTCATTCACCATGTGGGTCCCTGAGATTGAACTCAGGTCATTGGCCTTTAAAGCCAGCTCCTACAGCCACAGAACCATCTATCTCCGACTTAATCAGCTGTACAGTTTATACAGACTTGGAAGTCTATCTGATTTGATTCTTTAGTAACATAAAACTCATGGCTCTGTGTTTTAGAGACACAGTTGTCTGAAACTGGTTGAACTGCCTGTCACTTCCTAGTCCCGTACCTTCTCACAGTCACCAGCAGATGCCTTCTCGTGGGACTTCTCAGCAGAGCCCACTAAAGTAATGTTGTACTTTCTCTGTCTCACTCATGCTGGGGTTTGTCATGTGACTTGCAACAAAAATGGAGGAGAGTTCCAGGGTGAGGCTTCGGGAGGCACCATTGGTATCTGTTTACATTCTGACACATCTGTGAGGCACTGTGAGAAAACATTGCCCAAAGCGGCCTCTGTGCCTTCAGACTGGGTCCCAGCGTAAGACACAGACCAGCCTAGACCAGCTGAGCCTCAGGACACAGCAGACTTGTGGTTGCTGTCATAAACAGGGAGGGGCTGAGGGGTCTGGGTTTTGGCAAAAACTGACTGACACTCCATTAAAGTGGGCTCCCCAGAGAAGAAAAGAAACCTCTTTGTAGGGCAATGGTGGTGCACACCTTTAATCCCAGCACTTGGGAGGTGAGGCAGGAGGATCTCTGTGAGCTTGAGGCCAGCCTGGTCTACTTAGTGAGTTCCAGGACACACAGAGAACCTTTGTCTTGAAAAACCAAAACCCAAACCAAAACACCCCCAAAATCTCTTCAACCTGTCACCCACTGGACGACTTACTTCCAGATGTCAGTTCAAAGTGTGGCCTCCCTTCTTCGGTGGCCGTGAGGATGGCCAGTTTCCCTTCAATCATCTCTCCATCAATGAACTTTCCATAGAGCGCGGTCCTCTGGTCAGGGTAGACATAGGCTATCTTCTCCCCAGTCATCTCTCCGTCTTCATTGACTTCCCCGACGAGGCTACCTCCGTCCTGGAAGGAGAAACCCAAACCCAGAGGTTTTATATAAAGTAGTCGTGGATAGGGTGTGAGTTCAGGAAGTTCGTCTTCGGCAACCCCCACCGATTGTTATTGCTGAAGAACACCAACAATAACAATAACCGTTTAAGAATCTAGAGCTTTTCACAAGAGTGAGAGCTCTTCACGCCTCTGCAGGTAGCTCCTCCACCACACACACAAATACACTTCTGGAATGCTCTATGCACAGGGACATGTATGCCTCATTTAGAATAGGAGACTGGAGTGCACTTGGCAATCCTGAAGTAGTGACTAGCCCTCTAGCTTGGTGTGTTATCTAAGAAACAAACACATCACACTCAGAACACATTGCAGACATTTAAGGGAAATATAACTAAGCACACACCTGTAATTATTAAGGGAAATAGATTACAGCATAAATATATTACAGTACACATCTGTAACCTTAGCACTATGGAGGCAGAGACAGGCAGATCTCTGATCTCTGTGAGTTTGAGGCTAGCCTGATCTATCCAGGACAGCCAGCACTACATAGAGAGACCCTGTCTCAAAGCAAACAAACAAACTTCACTGAAAATGAACCTCCTTTTTTTTTTTTCCTTTCTGTAGCACTGGGGTGAACCCAGAGTCCAGGACCTTGTGGGATTGTACATGGTAAACACTCCACCCCTGAGCTAAATCTCCATGCCTTTAAACATGCTTAAGAATTAATTTGGTCTACCCGAGTAAAAATAGAATTGCCTGTATTTTTCTAAGCAATAAACAGCAGACCTTGACTCTCCCACAGCACTTCTTTCTTTCATTCTTCATTTGTGGCTCCCCTGCCTCCCCCCAAGAGAAGGGCCAGCTTTGCTTCATTCCATAGGACAAATGTTGGAGTAATTCTATGTCCTGCTAAGTGCCAGGGTCACAGTAGGTAACTGACAAATACCTGATTTTTTTTTTTAACTTTCTGTGTATGTTCCTGTATGTGTGCATGGGTAAGCATGCACCATGGTGCATGTGTGGAGGTCAGAGGACAACTTGCAGAAGTCCCCCACCACATGGATCCCAGGGGTCCCACCATATTGCCAGGCTTAGCGGCAGACACCTTTACTCACGAAGTCTCTCACTGAGACTTTTTAGTTGAACTAGGCTACCACAGCATTATGGCTAATTTAATTTAGGCTGCAAAAGATGGGCCCCTCCCCTGGAAGTCCTAACTGCCTAATTTACCAATCTGAGTCCTTTGTAAGCTTGCTAAACAATTTGATACTATGGCACCTCAGACAGCTTGGTTAATGACCTCAGCTCCAGTATCTGGGAACGGCTACTCAAAGCTGCAATGTGGGTGATCCTCCGTGTCGCTTACTGAGACAGTATAAGTGACATTATGTACACTCTTGGTTATTGATAAGACCAGGGAGCAAAACGTAGCTATAGTGGCCGATAGATCTCCCATGCTCCAGTGGCTGGCCCCCACCCATGTACCTGCAGTAGTACTAACGGCACTCAAGGGATTATAAAACAAACAAAAACCCGAGAGAAGAACATGAAGGTAGGAGCTGACATGTTGGGGGTGTCTGGTGGGGTTGGGGAGCGGAGTTGGGGGTGCATATGATGAAGACATGTCGTATGCATGTGTACGAAATTGTCAAAGAACACATGAAATATTCTCTAAAGATGTCACTGCATATATAGGTTTCAAAATTGGCTCCACTCAGCGAGATGAACGCAGGAAATGGTCTCAGTGTACTTTCGATCTCATCACCGGACCTCAGTCGATCCTAGTCAGCAGCAAAATGACAGGGAGTGGGAGTCTCCGGGAATTCCTGCTTTGTCTCCCTGTTCATCTCTCTCCCATCCTCTTCCTACACAGGGCTCCACTCATCCTTCTGACAAGTCCCTCTCAAATGTCAGTAGTGCCCCAGCACAGGCATTGTGGGGCTCACCCTGGCTGCTCGGGAAGCCCACTCCCAGCCTTCTGGACCTGTAGGTACTTTGGCACCTGTCCATCTGCTTGTCTGCTTCTACCTAGAGTCACCTAAATGATGTCTGATGGGTCAGAGCTGACCAAGAGGATACCTAAATGTTTGGGCAAGTCTTTGACAAAGATTAACCACATTCTTTCCTTAAGAGTACAGTTTCTTTTTAGAATTCTCTCTCTCTGAGAGAGAGACACAGAGAGAGACAGAGAGAGAGACACACAGAGAGAGAGACACAGAGAGAGACAGAGAGAGACACACACAGAGAGAGACAGAGAGAGAGACAGAGAGAGAGACACACAGAGAGAGACACAGAGAGACACACAGAGAGAGACAGAGAGGGAGACAGAGAGAGAGAGACAGAGAAAGACAGAGAGAGAGACAGAGAAAGACAGAGAGCTGTAGAATCCCCAGAGTCCCCAGTGTGGATGCTGGGGTCCAAACTCCAGTCCTCACGATAGAACAGCAGCAACTCTTAACTGAGGAGCCATCTCCCCAGCCTCAAATTCCCAGACTTAAGCCCTTCTGTCTCAGGCTCCCCTAGTAGCTGGGTCCACAGGTGCATAATCTATGCCAAGCTTAACCGATTAAAAACACAATTGTGTGGTTGGGCACTGTCGTGTGTACCTTTATTCCCAGCACTAGGGAGGCAGAGGCAGGTGGATCTCTGTGAGCTCAAGGCCAGCCTGGTCTACACATTGAGCTCCAGGACAGTCAGGACTATGTAGAAAACAAACCTGTCTCAAAAATAAGTAAAAACCAACCGGGCGGTGGTGACGCACACCTTTAATCCCAGCACTCGGGAGGCAGAGCCAGGCGGATCTCTGTGAGTTCGAGGCCAGCCTGGGCTACCAAGTGAGTTCCAGGAAAGGCTCAAAGCTACACAGAGAAACCCTGTCTCGGAAAACCAAAAAAAAACAAAACAAAACAAAGAAAAAAAAAGTAAAAACCAACTGTATTTGGATGACATTAGGTACCCTGCTCTATCTCTCTGCCTTATTCCCTTGAGGCAGGGTCGCCCTGAACTTGGAGGTGTGCCAGCCCCAGAGAGCCCCAGTGAGAGCGTTGTGAGTACATAAGTGATCAAGCCAGCCTTTTGACTTGGTTCCTGAGGATTTGAACTTAGGTCCTCACACTTGTAGCAAGTGTGCTTATCTGATAAGCCATCTTCTTAGCTCCTTAAATGGTTTCTAAAGAATAATACTGTGGGGCTGGAGAGATGCCTCAGTGGTTAAGAGCACTGGCTGTTCTTCTAGAGGTCTTGAGTTTGATTCCCAGCACCCACATGGTGACTCACATTCATCTATAGTGGGATCTGATGCCCTCTTCCGGCATAAAGTCGTACATGCAGATAGAGAACTCATATACATAAAATAAATAAATAGATCTTAAAGAAATAAAGTAAAAGTATAAACGCTGTGTATTTTTTTTTTTTTTTTTAAAGGATAATAATGTGAGCTGGTGGGATGGTTCAGGGAGGCGGAGGGGGTGGAGGTGGGGTAAAGGTGCTTGCTGTATAAGCCCAGGGACCTGAGCTCAGGCCCTAGGTGGGAACAGAGAATGGAGTCCACAAACTGTCCTCAGATTGCCGCCACACATATGCCTGACACATGCAGCCCCACACATCATGCACACTCACACACAAATAAGACATAAATAAATACAACAACGTGTAAGTACATTTACTGGGGATTACTTTTCTTGTTTTACATGTAATAATTTGCTTTTCTGGTTCAAAGTTTTACTACATAGCCCAGGCTGACCTCAAACTCTGTATGTTGTTGAGGCTGACCTTGAACTCCTGATCCTCTTGCCTCCATTCCCAAATGCTGGGAGATTCCAGGCAAGCACCATTGTGCCTAGACTGTTCTTACTAACAATTCAGAGTAAGCAGAAAGGTATTTTCAGTTAAGCTCTGGACATGATAAAACAGTAAACAAAGTATATCTTAAGGTTTACTTTTCAAAACATAGTTTTAAAATTCATCAACAACAGATGGAGCATTTGAAATGCAAACAAAAATTATTAATTCCCAACTATGGACTATGCCATATCTATTTGCTGTAGTGAATTCAAAGCCAGCACTGTTACCAAACACTTGAAGGCAAGTTCAGTTAAATCATCTTAACATAAGCAATACAATCCATGATGCACCTTCACAGTGAGGAGAACGTAAACGTCAAGCTGCAGTGGGGTAGTGACTCCAGAAAGGATTCAGTCTCATGTATGAGCGACTAGATAGAGTTAAGCAACAGCTGGGTGAGGTGGTCCATGCCTTTAATATGAACACTCAGAGGCAGAGGCAGGAAGATCTCATACAAGTTTAAGGACAGCCTGGTCTACAGAGTGCATTTGAGGCCAGCCAGATTACACAGTGAGAGCCTGTCTCTCCCCTATATGTATTTCTTTATTCTTTTTCTTTTTCTTCTCTCCTCTCTCTCTGTCTCTGTCTCTGCTCTCGACACAGGGTCTCTCTATGTAGTCCTGGCTGTCCTGGATCTTACTAAGTTCTGGGATTTAAGGCATGTACCATCACACCCATCCATCCCTCACATGTATTTCAACGATGAAATATCCCACCACTTCTTTCTACGTGCCAAAGGAATTAAAAGCAATTTATTTTTTACTTTATAAAGGGCACAATAAAACTAGTTTGTGCCAGTGATGAGTAAATACTCAGGAATACTCAGTGTGACTCAGAAGAATAATTAATAGCAATCTAAAGCCTAGTCCCAGTGAACAACAGCAGGTAGGTGGGCCTCAGACACGCTCATCTGTAGCGACTGATCTGTGGCTTTGCAGCAAATACATTTGACTGTTTATCATCAGGAGTCAAAATATTGTCTTAAAACACGTTCCTTTCCCTCATAGTGAGCAGGCGCCAGCTTACTGGGTAATGGATCCAACACACTCCATGTCGAATGTTGTCTTTGTACTGGCCCTTGAAGATCAGCCTCCCGTCGGTATCATACTCCTGGGCTGGTCCGTTCAGCTCACCGTCCACATATGTGCCTTGGAGCACACCTCCGTCCTCATAGGTGTAAACACCCTGGCCCTGCAGGGCATCGTCCACATAAAATCCTTCCAGGGTGCTGCAAGGCAAGGGAGAACAGAAAGGAACAGTCAGATTACACAGCACTATAGTTCTCTCTCTGTCTCTGTCTCTCTGTCTCTCTGTCTCTGTCTCTCTAGCATACAGGTAGTGGGTAGAGGATATCTGGTTGTTGTTGGCTCTCTCTTCCCACTGTGTGGCTCACAGGGATCAAACTCAAGTTGTCAGGCTTGGTGGCAAGCACCTTTACCCACTGAGCCCTCTTAAAATAAAGGATCAGGTCCGAGGACTCACATGCCCAGCTCTGTTCCCACCCTTCCATGTATCCAGGACATCTGGAATTCCCATCGATGGATGGCCAGGAAAAATGCAGAGAGGCAAATAATAGTTGGTGATGTCGCCTGGTTGGTAGAGCATTTACCTAGCATGCCCAAGGCCCTGGGTTTGAGGAAGCCTTAATCTATAATCTCCTGATTCCTATGAATCTTATTTCTTTCTTTGCTAAAAGAAAGAGAGAAGAAAAAAAGCCACAGGTACGGCTGAGAACAAGTCTCAGCTACCCATGTCTCCACGGCCAGGCAGATGCCCAGCTTACATTGGGGCATTAGCATTTCTGCTGTTAAATCTACTCAACAGTGAGCATTGTGCTTCTCTCTGGGCTCTAAGCCTCTTGGATGGCTTGTATACAAGGCTCTTCAGTCACACAAGCATGGTTCAGCTTGTGCAAATGGCTATCTTACTTCCAAGTCACTAATATTTTATTTTACAGTAGCAATGATAACCGGCATCCAATCAAAAGACTTCTCTTTGATCCTGTTGGAAGACTGGTGAGGACTTACTTTTGTTATATAGTCATGTGTCCCTTAATGACAGGGACAGACTCTGAAAAATGTGCCATTAGATGATTTTGTCAATATGTGAACAACACAAGTATGCGCAAACAAATCCAGATGCTACAGCTGGCTCTTTACCTAGGTTACATGTTGATCTTGCAGGACTTTTGTGGCATAGGCTGTTCATGGAGTCCTGTGTATGACACTCAGCTGGACACACGTGCTCCTATGCACAACCATGGACATAAAGGAGTGGCGGGGTAAAGGAGGGAGACAGCGGGCTCAACCCTGCTTCCTCCATCAGCAGCCTGATGAAGCCTGAGCCCTGTGGCGCTGGACCAGAAGAAAGCTCATAGCACACCCAAGGCCATTTTCTCAGCCTTCTCCTACCGCTGTCCTCAGAAAACACATTTGGGAAATTCAGAAATACGTTTTCTGTCCAATATCCTCATGCAATAGAAGTAAGTTTACCAAAAATACCATTTATAATAAAGGAAAGGGCGGCTCAAACCATTTGTAAATTTTTGTTTTGTTTTGTTTTTTTTGAGACAGGGTTTCTCTGTGTAGCTTTGCACCTTTCCTGGAACTCGCTCTGTAGCCCAGGCTGGCCTCGAACTCACAGAGATCCATCTGCCTCTGCCTCCAGAGTGCTGGGATTAAAGGCGTGTGCCACCACCGCCCGGCTCCCATCTGTAAAATTTTAAATGTAAGTGTTAACAATATGGCTCAGTGGTAAAGGCACTTGCCACCAATCCCAAGGATCTGCATTTGATTCCCTGGACACACATCACGGAAGGAGAAAGTCAACTGAGGCCCGTCGTACACTGACTTCCACACGCAGGCCGACCCCTCCCTACACATAGCACATGTCCACAAAATAAACAAATGTAATTTAAAGATTAAAACACGAATGCTAGATATTCAGAAACAAAGACGGTTTGATTAACAGCCAGGTTTTAGTCACAGATTCAGCTTGTAAGCATTTTAAGGTATGTGTCCTATGTAGTGAGCCTGGTATGGGGCTCTAGCCAGCACGGTGCACGGAATAAGTACAGGCCAACAGTACTGCCTTGTAAGCACACACTGCTCTAGAGGCCATGCAGGATAAGCACATGGTACATTCTGGGTAGGCGGGATGAACATATACCTTATGCCACGACGACAAGCATACACTGTGTCCTGGGTTAAGTAGGACAAGCACACATCACGTACTGGGCTAGGTAAGAGAAGTACACATCATGTTCCGGGGCAGGTAAAACGCAAAGCAAGGCACGGGGACTGAGCAGGCTGTCCCTGACTCTGCCTGGTGACGTCCTGTCTTATGATTGAGAATGATCTGTAATTATTAAATGAAATGCACAGCCTGAACAGTGACAGCGTCTCATTTCATTGTAATTACACTATTTGTGGTCTCCCAAGGAGATAAATAGTTCTCTCCCGTTTGTTTGTATTATCAATGACAAATAGGCTTATTAAATTCATGAATGGAATGAAGTATACTTTAACATAGCTTTTGCATAAATGATCAAAACTCTAAATTCAGTGAAGCCGAATTAATGAGATTCAACTGTCATTAGAGTCAGACAATTAAAAAGGAGAGCCCGCTTGGAGGAGGATTGCTAATCAACTGATGAGGTGATGTGTGCAGCACAGGAAAGCGAGTCAGCCATCTTCCTTTCTGGGAGGGACTGTCAGGTAAGACACAAGATGCAGCCAGGCGGTAGTGGTGTAGGCCTTTAATCCCAGAACTTGGGAGGCAGAGGGCAGAGGCATCTCTATGAGCTTGAGACCTGTGTGGTCTACAAAGTGTGTTCCAGGACAGCCAGGGCTATACAAAGAAACCCTGTTTTGAAACACACCTCCCTCCCTCCAAAAAAGATACAAGATACTCATTGAAGTCTGAATTTTACACAGGTTATAAACGTCAGCAGGTGCACATCCCAAATATTGGATAGAAGATATAAATATAAAAAGTGTGTTTTGTTGTGGTGGTCTGAAGTTTTAATTTAACCAAGTGTTCTAAGTTTTTATTTGCTAGTTCTGGCAACCCTTTTGATTTTAAGATTCTCAGCAGCGTTCAAAATGTTCCTGTGTGTATTTGGGTATCGTCCCCACAGACGAGCCTGCCAATACCTCTCAGATTCATGACCAAATCTACAAGTCACAGGTGTCTCAGACAAGTTAAAAAACCAGCACAGACTTGCACGTATCTTTGTGAGTGTGAGTTCCCGCGTGTCAGGGCTGGCACACGAGGTAAGAGGACAGCTCTGGGGATCAGTTCTTCCTCTCACTGTCGAGCTCAGAGCATCCGGCAAGCGCTTTTACCAGAGCCATAGTTCTGTTTGTTTTGTTGTTTTTTTTTCCCCACACAGGGTTTCTCAGCATAGCCCTGACTGTCCTGAAACTCACCACATAGACCAGGCTGGCCTCCAGCTCATGAGATCCACCTGCCTCTGAGTGCTGGGTCTAAGGGAGGCGCCTCCACACCCAGACCCACTGAGTCATCTTGTTTTGATCTCAGTCCCAACCGTGCACAGTGGCTTGCCATTGCCTGTGAGCCCATTCTCACTTCCCTCTCAAGAGGAGCAGTGGTTTTCCTCTTTGCACAGTGCAGTCTCTGAAGGCAGGGCAGTCCAGGGCTCTATGGCTCGGCTAAATTCCAGAGCCCTTAAAGCTACCTTTTTAGGGAGGTAGGAAAGATGCTTCTCTTTCGGCAGTAATTTATGAATGACCCGACTGAATGGGAGAAGGAAGGAATCGATACCTTTTATGTTTAAAAATAAAAAGCAATGTGTTCATTGTAACAAACAAACTGTCACCATGCTACAGAAAGCATAGCTTTTCATTATTCTTATCCGAAATATTTGGTTGACAGGTTTATGTGAACATCATGCATTTCCATACCTCCCCCCCCCTCCCCCCCCCCCCCCCCCCCCCCCCCCCCCCCCCCCCCCCGCCTGTCACAGGGTCTCACTGTGTAGCCCAGGCTAGCTTCAACCTCAGGAACCTTCTGTTCTTTCCTTAGCGTTGGGGTTACAGTCTTGTAATATCATGCTCAGCTCTGTATTTTGCTGTTGTTTGTTTTGAGACAAGGTCTCACTTACTCAGGCTGGCCTTGAACTCTCTGTGTAGCTGAGGATGAGTGTGAACTCTTGATCCTCCTTCCTCTACCTCCCAAGAGCTGGGACTTGTAGACACAGGCCACCACTAATGGCTCCTGCTCTGTTTTAATTTTCTTTTTTCTTTTTATGTGTGTGTGTGTGTGTGTGTGTGTGTGTGTGTGTGTGTGTGTGTATGTATGTATGTGTAGAGGCTAGAAGAAGGTGTCAGAGCTCTTGGGTCTGGGGTTACAGGTGGCTGTGAGCCATCTAATATGGGTGCTGGGAAGTGAACTTGGGTCCTCTGAAAAAGCAGCAAGCGTTCTTAAACATGGAGCCATCCCTCGAGGCCCGGTTTTAATGTTCTTAACCCATGCTACCTTTTACCTTTGGCATACTCCTCAGGATAAGATTAAGAAATAACAAAAATGGTCATTGGAGTGTTTGACTTTCTGGCAATGGCATCGGAAGCACACGACTAAATAAACCTCTCTGGTGTCTGAATACAGGAAAGTATTTAGGAAGCTTGGCTTTTCTACATGGTTTGGGGACCGAGAAGTTTCTGTCCTCCACCTCATCGGCCTAACCATTGTTCCATAACCTGTAGCTTGTGGTCTGCACATGGCCTGGGATGGCTATGAATGTGGCCAACACCAAATCTCAAGCTTGCTTAAAACTTAAGGTTTTTTTTGGTGATTTTTTTTTCTTTTGCCTTTTGGTAGCTCTATTATACTGTGCTTTTCAAGTCTGAACTTTTGTAGATAATGACTCTGTGTCCAATATAAAAGGTTGGACACAGCTGTTAGTGTGTCCTCGTCAATCTAAGAGTCGAGAAAAAAACTTACAAATGAATCAGATTCTACTTTCAAGACCCATCTCTAGCAAATTAAATTGTGGCTTGGTTGAAAACATTGTTCTAGGAATTGTTTCGTGTGGCTGCATTGGTATCTAATGCTGCAAACCGAGGAAGGCGAAAGCCACCTCCAGCCAACACCTTCGACTGACCTCGGGAGGCGGAATGGGCAAGCAGAACAGAGCACTTTCTGTAATCGGTCTGGCCATATGCTGGGCACCTTCAAAGTCTCTCTTGCCTTTGTTTTTATCCTTTCACAGAGGATGTGTGAGTCTAGAGAATCTGACGATCACCAAGGCTCAAAATAACAGCAATTAGCAAAATTTAGTCCTCTTTGTTAAAAGACAACCCTAAGAAGTGTACTGCTATGGACTGAATGTTCACGCCTCTGTAAAATCTGTACATCTGAAGCCTTAATTCCCAGTGGGGTTGTCCTTGGAGGAGAGATGTTGGTTATGAAGTCAGAGCCTTCCTGGGTGCACTTACTGCCCTTAGAAAAAGACACCGTGGAGCTTGCTTTCTCTGGCTCTCTTCTCCAGCCTGTGACAAGACAAGCAGCCATCTGCAAGCCAGGAAGCAGGTCCTTACCAGACACCAATCTAACAGCATTTGATCTGGAAGCTCTCAGCCCTCCAGAACTGAGAGATGAACACTGCTCCGGGCAGACATTGTCAGAATGGATTTGGAATGTGTGACACCGGTTTGTATCTGGTGCTGAACTGGCAGCTTGCTGATGGAGGTGGATGGTGGGGGACCACACCTTTTGGAGGAGCTGATTGGTGTGTGACTGTAGCAATACTAAGACACTTGACACCAATGTTTTTCCTAACAAGTAGTCCTCTAGGCTGCTGGAATCAACCAAGATCAGAGTAACCCTGTCAGGACTGGTCACCAGCACCATCCACCCTCCCACAGGCACTTGCCAGGGGTGCCAGGTCTTCCGAGGTCTTGATTGCTTTTCTCATTCAACCATTTATCCCTATCCTACAAATGAGAAAACAGGAGTCTGGGGAGGTCACTACCAAAGAAGATGGCCCTTCAGGAACACCTTCATCAACTTCCCAGGCTCCTAGCAAGTGCTAACACACCTATAGAAAAGAAGCTAGCTGGTGGTGGTGGTGGTGGTGGTGGTGGTGGTGCACGCCTTTAATCCCAGCACTCAGGAAGCAGGGGCAGGTGGATCTCTGTGAGTTCAAAGTCAGTCTGGTCTACAGACCGAGATCCAGGACAGCAGGGCTGTTACACAGAGAAACGCTGTCTCGAAAAACCAAAAAAAAAAAAAAAAAAAAAAAAAGAAGTGACCCTAAAGAAAACAAAGAAAGCATGGAAAAAAGGAAACAGATTCATCACTATTTCCTCACTTCTGCTCAGAATTGAGTGCAGATGTAATAAAAAGTATTGCCTCTAAAAGTGAATTTAGTCAGTGTTTCACACCTGTAATCTCAGCACTTGGGAGGTAGAGGCAGGAGGATCAGGAGTCAAGATCATGCTCAGCTACATAGTGAGTGAAAGGCCAGCCTGGACTACATGAGATCCTGTCTCAAAAAAAGAAAGAAAGAAAGGAAGGAAGGAAGGAAGGAAGGAAGGAAGGAAGAAAGAAAGAAGGAAAGAAATAAAGAAAGAAAACATAGAAATGAATTCACCTCAACTCTAACTCCCACTAACTAGGGGACTCTGGGAAAGATATTTAGCCTCTCTAAGCCTTAGTTTCCTCATAAATGAGGTGGGATTGATTGTAAGTCCAAATGTATTTACTGCTTGGTTCCAATAAGAGACCAATGATGGTCAAGAACACAGAAAGGATGCTGCCTCATGAGAGGCTGGAACACGTGACTTCAAAAGTTCATTTCCACACAGCGTCTCTGAAATGTGATCAAGCACCTTGTAAGAAGGTGGGAAATGTTAGATGTCCTCATCGTCCCTCAGCCCACAGGGATCCCTCCCGGCAGGACACATCAGTACAGGAAGTCAACGACTTTGGGAGTTGGAGTGATAACTCAGTCGGCAAACCGCTTGTCTTGCAGCATGAGGATGTGCATTGGTCCCTTAGAACCCACTTAAAAAACAAAGCCAATGTGTCGGTGTGGATTTGGAATCTCTGTCTAGTCTACTTGGTGAGTTTCAAGCCAGGGAGAGATCCTGTCTCAAAACCAACAAACACAAAACACACCAAGATGTGGCCTTTCGGATAGCTCGGTGGGTAAAGTACTTGCCACCAAGCCTGGTGACCGAGCTTCATCTCTGGCACCCACATGCAGAGACCCAACTCCTGCAAGTTGTCCTCTGACCTCCACACACTGTGGCGTGTCTAGCCCCTCCCAATAAACAAATTAATGCAATAAAAAATTCCATAAAATCAAGATTCATGGCAATGAGGAACAATAATGGAGTTTTTTTTTTTTATTTCTCCATGTGTGTGCACATGTATACCACACACACGTACCACACACACACACATATGACACATATACACATACATACATATACACACACAAAAAAAGAAAATGACTTGTGTACAGAAAAATAAAGGCATGCAGTAGCAAATTCTTTGGAAACTAGTTGGCATATCCAGGAAAAGCATTGACAATCAACATTTCCACCCTGGGTTCTATGGCACACACTGGTGATCCCAGTACTCTACAGGATGAGGCAGGAGGACAGTGGGTTTGAGGACAGCCAGGCGACTAGAAACAGCATTGAAAGAGCAGGGGATGAAGCTCAGTGGTCGAACACTTGCCTAGCATCACGAGGCCCTGGGTTCAGTCCCCAGTTCCGAAGAATAACCATACATATAATAAGTTACCTCGCTTTTGCCTTGGGCTACAGACCACACGACTCCCTGATGTTACCATTCCACAGCCTAAAAGTAGAGACCTCTGGGTTTGTTCGATTTTTCTTTTTCTTCTCCCAGTCTTAGGCTAGTGACAAGTTCTGGCTCTAGGTTTACACATTTTGGTGGAACTGAGAACAGTTAAACTGTACTAAACGTCCAGATTAGAGGTGACAATCAGAGGTGCAGATACCATTCTCAGTACCAGGAAAACCTTTCCACAGTGCCCTCAGGACTATCCACCTCCAGTGTCAGGCCCCAGACCGTGTGGCCCCTGATGGGGAGTCTTGGTCCCTACCTGCTTACTAAGGGTTCCGTTTCTTGTGTCTAACAGGGAGTACATTTTTGGCACACTTGGCTCAAATGCTCAGTCTAGCTCAAACGAGCTCAGTGTAGCTCATTAATGCTCTTCTACACCAGGCCTGTAAAGCCAGTAGGTAAATGCCACTGAATACAATCAATTTGCTAGATTACTTTCCCTAAGAGTCAGTCAATTGTCGGCTATCCTTATCTAACTACCAAATTTAAAGTATAAATATGCTCATGTGTGTGTGCCTGTGTGTGTATGTGCAGCCATCTGGATAAATTCTAACTTGTTTTCAGCTTCCACATCCACGTGGCAAGGACTTTACTATCACTGTTCTAAAGTAGCAAGTTAAGGGAAAGTGTCGGAAAGCACAGTAGATGGTCATAGACAAATTCTGCACTCAAGGAAACTCTCCTCAGGTGGGGAGGGGAAATAAGACATTTACAAAAACATACATTGTGAAATGAATACAAAAATAATCTCAGCATAAAATAAAAATTGACATTTTCCAGTTAAAGAGCTTTGGTTAAATTGCCATGGAAATGGAGTAGGAGAATTACTTTCTGGACAGAGGGATTCTGAAAGAGAAGGCACCATACCAACACCTTGAAAGAGACCTGTGGGGACCAGGTATTCAGTGGGTATTGTATTTGTGTGTGTGCGTGTGTGTATACAATGTATGAGTATGTGTGTATATATGATGTGTGTGCCTGTGCACATGGCTGTGTGTGAGTGTGGGCCATGGTACACGTGGAGGCTGGAGGAAACTTTGGGTGTCAGTTCTTATTCTGGCTTGTATGATGTCATTGAGCTATGTCACAGTTTTTGAACTGTATTTCAAATGAATTTGTACAAGATGGGAGCAGAACATCACTGGACAGACACATGCCAGGCTCAGCACACCTTAGGCTGGCTTCCGCACAGCCACCACCGCCATTTCTGGTCACCAAAGCCTTGCACACATGTTGGGGTTACTCTCACTCACCTTTTACAGGAGGTGTATACGAACTTTTAATTGAATTCTTGCATTTCTATCATTCCTTCTTTTGAAATAGTTGGAGACCCCCCCCCCCCCCCACACACACTTCTCCAACCCTAAACAAAACAGACCGTCAAGGACTACCTGCCGTCAAAGAAGAAGAACTTCCCGCGTCCATTCTTTTCTCCATGCACAAAGTTGCCCTCAAATCTGTCTGTGGAGGAGTAGGTGACGGTACAGAATCCGTGTGGTAATCCATCATCGTCCAGGTGCCCTGGGGAAAGAGAGGCACAGGCCACACCTTAACACCATCCACGTGATGCAACCGCCGTCAGCTCAGAACTGCCAAAAGTGCCCATTCTTTGCATGGAGGCCAGAAGAGGGCATCAGATTCCTCTGCATCTGGACTTACAGATGGTAGTGAGCTGCTCAGCATGGGTGCTGGGAGCTGAACTCAAGTCATTTGCAAGAGTAACAAGGACTCTTAGCTGCTTAGCCATGGAGCACTCCAGCCCCGGCTTCTGTGTCTTGAAAGGACCACACATGCAGAACTTCATGTTTTGTATACTTCATACCAGTCAGGACCACACACACACACAGAAAGGCCTGTGCATGTTTGAGGACATGGAGCTTGTACCAGCTTGTCTTTTCTCTGGGACTGGGACTTATTATCAGTAGGACCATCTGCAGTACTGGTTACCACTTCCCCATAGTACTGATGTTGGGGATGAATGTCCCAGCTTCTCACATTCAACGGAAATGTGGCTCAGATGGCACTGAGTTATAGTCTTATTGTCACATCCACTACTCCGCAGCTTTTACATGTTGCAAGCATGCAATATGACTTTACACGTTATCCTAGAGTATGGTACTGAGCACTAGTGGAGTCGGGACACACCATTTGATTTTACACTCAGATAACGAAGGAGAGAGTCACGTGTCTAAAACTGCCCGAATATTTAATTCTTTGTTATTGACAGTCCTTTTAAGCTTAAACCTAAGCTAACCCTAAGTACCTTTCAAACTCCCTGTGTCAGAGGGTTATGTTTAAGTGGAGATGACCATGCCCACATTGCTACTGAAATAGTGATCTTGGACCCCAGGAACAGTCCTTATACTCACCTTTGACCTCCTGGTGCTTCCTGGTTGCTGACTACACAGCCTGAAACACATTTGGAGCCAGCGTCTAGGTGTCTGGGTGCTTTGTTACCACCTACATGTTTCACAAACCCCAGGAACCCCTCATTAGCATCCCCCCATCATCTGGGTGAGTAGATTTTGCAGTGGTGAGTGAAAATAGTAAACTCTACTGTCTTTTCCCTTGGGTTGACAACTGGATCATGGGTGAAAATATTAAACACTGTGCAATGCAGGGACGTTCACTACAAACACGTGGCTTCCAGAGGGCTCCCTGGCATGAAAACACAAACCTTGCCACCACAGTGACCGTTTTCAGCTCCTGAGATTTTTTTTTTTTTTTTTGGTTTTTCGAGACAGGGTTTCTCTGTGTAGCTTTGCGCCTTTCCTGGAACTCGCTTTGGAGACCAGGATGGCCTCGAACTCACAGAGATCCGCCTGGCTCTGCCTCCCGAGTGCTGGGATTAAAGGCGTGCGCCACCACCGCCCTGCTGAGATTTGTTTTAAGATGATAGGATACCAGGCTTAGGAGGGACTTAGTGGTAGAGTGCTCAGATAGCATGCCTGAGAATGCAAGCAATCCCTGGCACTGGAAGACAAGAATTAGAAAAAGACAGAAGTCATAAAGAAATAAAATGTTCTTTTTATTACAGACTACTACACCATAAAATAATAACAACAACAAAGCACAATGCTTTATCGCTCTACCTGACTAGAGTATGGAATGAGTTACCTAGAACATAGTACAACAATACATGCTATTATTTATTTGTTTACTTATGTGTGTGTGTGTGTGTGTGTGTGTGTGTGTGTGTGTGTGTGTGTGTGTGTGCCTGGTTGAGTTTATGTGCACCATACACATGTAGGAACCTTCAGAGGCCAGAAGAGGCCATTGGATCCCCTGGAACTGGAGTTACAGGTGATGAGCTGTCATGTGAGTGCTGGGAACCTAACTAAGGTCCTCCACAAGGGCAAGCAGTACTCTTAGCATGAGCCTTTTCTCCAACCCTATATGGCTATGTGAACACACCACAGACGGACAGCTGTACATGGCTATGTGAACACACCACGGACAGACAGCTGTACATGGTTATGTAAATACACCACAGACAGACAGCCGGACTTGGCTGTGTAAATACACCACAGACAGCTGTACATGGCTATGTAAATACACCACAGCCGGACAGCCGGACACGGCTATGTGAACACACCACAGCCGGACAGCCGGACATGGTTATGTGAACACACCACAGACAGCTGGACATGGCTATGTGAACACACCACAGACAGGTTAGTTCTCTTCTTTAAACACAAACTTTTCCTACAAGGGTCAGGGAGTCAATGGTCAGCAGGGAACTAGTCCAAAACTGCCTTCTTTTGTAGAAAAACTGAATTACATGATGTAATTCTGACACTTGAGTCATGTGAAATAACTGGACACCTCTTTTCTAACTATCCACTGATGACATTCTTTTATTGAGACAGATCAAATTTACTTTTTTCTCTTTTAATAAAAAATACTCAATATAGAGCTAAAAGCTTTCTCTTATGAAACATTGAAATCAATTAAATGTAGCCATTACCATTCCTATGAATTTAGTGTCCTACTTTTGATAGAGGGAGAGATATCAGAATAATTAGGTTAGTCTCTCAGGAGAGTAATTACTGAGGGGTTGGAGATACTCCCACAACGGAAAAAGGTTCACGCACTTCAGACTTTAAACAGTGGTTGTTAATAAAATTGTTTTTCCACTGCAAATCAAGAGAAACATTACGGTAAACGTGAACACGGAGGGGAGAGAAAGCACTGTGAGTCTTCCTACTTCCCTCCCCCTCGTCCCATTTCTGAGTCAAACGCGGAGGGTGTGCCATCCTCTGCACTGAACGCAGATAGTAAAGAAAAATGGAGAGTGTTGTGTAACTGAAAGCAGGCAGAGGTCAGTTCTGACTCCAGGTGAGTGGACGCCAAAATCTCACCCCTGGTCCATTTGGACCCCTTCTGCACCAGGCCAGTGGAGAAGGAACCCCTTCACTCTTTCCTAGAGGATTGCTGAATGGCAGCCACTTCTCAGGTGACCTTGTGCACTTGTAAGAAGGTCCGTGGATGGGTGGTCACTCTCTGCTAGTCTAGCTGCGTATGCAAGTTCTCAAATCTGTCCGACCTCAGCAGGATTCCTATCTTGACTCGTTTTCTTTTGCATCCTTAGGTGCAGGCAATGGAAAGAATTAGAAACTAGAGAGAATATCTGAAACCCCCATTCTTATTGTTTTCTAAGCAGCTACCCCAAACATCAGCAAAGCCAAAGGCTGGACATGGTAGTGAAAGCTTGCTCTCTTCCTTCTGGGGATTAAGAGTTCAAGGGCGGTCTCAGCACACAGCAAGTTGGAGGCCAGTCTGGGCTGCATAACGTTCTGTCTCTAACACAAAACACAACAGAACAGAACGGAACAGAACAAACATCCCCAGTCAAAACAATAACAACACAAAGACTTGCAAAGCAGAAAAGACCAGGGAAGAGATTAGGTTGTTCCAATCCTGCTGCCTTTGAACATCAGTGCTGCGAGGGATCTTGGCACAACGCTTATTCAAATGCTGCTGGGACAACAAGGTTATGTGGTCTCACAACCTTAGCAGCGAGCCTAAGGGAGAGGAGGTTACCATCCAGAGAAGGAAACAACCGTGAAGCTACTTTTTGGGGCAGTGGGGGCCTAAGCTAAGTGCTTTCTTGTTACTCCTTTTAAATCTCCCAACAGATGACTACACATTACCATGTGATCTGCAAGAGAATGCTGATCACTCTAAATGAAAAGCCGCTGCCTCAAACCCACCAATTCCCTTTTTGTCTAGAGAAAGGCGGACAGACTGGGCACCCTTTCTCCTTTCTGAGGGCAGAAGGAGGTAGCTCTAAGCGCTGGAGACACTGCACAGGGCTTTCTGCTCTGTCCTGAGGACCAGATTCCAACACCACATTGGGCTGCTCACAAATGCCCACAACTCCGGCTCCAGGGACCCCCCCCCCTCTCCTGCCCTCCCAGGGCACCAGTATACACATAAATAATAGGAGTAATTTAAAAAGAAAGTGAAAGAAAAACTGTTTAGGGGAACAGAAGAGACCAAGGGGAAGGCAGGGGAGTATGGGACAACATATTCCACATACACCACATACTTGTATGAAAATACTCTTACATAACCCAGTACCAAGAATGAAGAAAAGAAACTATATATTTAAAAAAAAAAATCAATGTTTCAAGTTTTACAACCATGTTAATGACTGTGCACTACTGAGCCAAAGGGTGTACTGTAATTTTTGTATAACTTTTCAACTTCAAAAATTATCTTTAAAAACAAACAAACGAATGAAAGAAAAAAAACAAAAAACTACTCGCAGCGCCCAGGCTGCTTATAGAGAAGTGCAGGAGACTTTGTGGGCAGGCCGCGGAAAATTCCCCAGATTCCCAATCAGACCCTGGTGGGGAACTCCTATCCTTGCCTGTGTGGCCAAACTCCGTGTGGAAACTCTAGTCCTCGCTGAAGCCTATAGAATGCGCCGAGTCAGCCAACCCCCTTCCAGGCCAGTTCCCATCACACAGGAGGCGGGCACCAGGCCTACACAACAGGCCAAGCTCACTGGAATGACCCTTTGTGCTAATAACATAGTCCCAGCAAGAGAGCCACCCAGGATCTGTCCGCAGACAGACTGAATGGTAGCCAAGGAAAAGCAACGTGCCTAATTTTTCCCCCCATTTTGTTCTAAATATTTTTATCTACCAAATGAATAGAATGTTAAAAATTTCCCCCTGAAGTTACCTCTGAGCAGAGGTTTTGGTTTTCCTTCTTAACTTGATAAGCTTAGTCTGTTACAGCACTGGCTGTGGATTGGAGATGGGCCCCTGACCGGTTGTCTCCCGCTCACTCACAGAGATCGCACAGTGCCGTGCTTCTGATTCCCTCAGAACAAGAGACCCTGATCTATGTGTGCATACTGCTGGTCGTGCTGACAAAACACCGCTCCTCCCCTCCCCCCACAAAAATCATTTAAGAAAAGGCAAGCTTATTAGTGCAAGGAGCGTGCCTTCCTCGTGATGTATTCCCAGTGGCTGTGAAAGGTTCAGGAGCTCAAACGTCAGCTGGTGAGGGTCGTAGTTTCCGTGTGTGGCCCACTTGGAATGGGTACAGTCAGGACACAGCACACTGTCCCAGGCACAC